AACAACAGATTTGACAATCTGTTCAATCTGATTGCCTCCAAGCTTTCAAAAGATCCACCTTCGTCTAGTTGATCATATTGAGGAAGATAGGACAGCATGTGCTAGTTTAGTCATGTTAGGAAGAAACATACAATGTGTATTTTGTTTTGATCATCCTTATTGTACACACTTATTGGTATTCAATACACATTTTTTTTACCTTACTTCTTATTTTGCTCCCAATTTCTTTTTGATGATTACCAAGGGGGAGAAATAAATAACAATATCTGATATCATATCTAATATCAAAATTTGTTATACGTATTGATGAATCAAAAAGGGGGATAATCGAGTAAGGGGCAGAACATACAGTCAAGGGAGAGTTACGTTTTAAGGAATAACTTAATAAACAATGTGTTATAACTAAAACAAGCACTTCAAGTTTCCAAGGCTTATCTGAAACAATTTTGATTAATTATATTTGTCATCATCAAAAAGGGGGAGATTGTTAAGTCAGACGAAGAAATTCCCAAAAAGGTGTTGAGTGAGACAAATATAATATATGTTGTTATCTCTAACAAGTGAGTTAGTGTTTCAGAAAGACATAAGAACAGGTAAAATGACGAAGAGGCATAAACATCAGACGTTAGAAAATGAAAGGCCAACATAAGCACTCAACAAGCCAAATCAGGAACAAGACCATGCCAAGGAAAATCTAAGGCAGCACATAAAGACTCAGACGGAAGATGGTCAAACGACCAAGAAGAAACTCCAAAAGAAATGGAAAGTCTGACCATATACAAGGTTGACCAAGACGAAAAGAAAAGTCAAAACGCTGATGATCAAACAAAGGTCAAAGTATTAAACTAAATATCGACTACCAGACGTAGATGACGAATGTCATGCAATCATCTGAGAAATCAAGCCTCAAAGGAGAATTTGAATATCGTCTACACTCACAAAAGAACACACGAAGCCATTTGAATTATTAGAAGAGAAGAAGAAAGAAGAAGAGCATGCTCAAACACTAAATCATGCATATGTCAAAAAAAGTACATCACTTTTTTAGGCAAGGACAAAAGTTCCACAGCTATAGGATTAGAAAAGACCAAAAAGTTTCCTAGGACTCTACTATATTCAGACACAGCTACTAATAGAGCAAAGAAACTTCACGCATTGTCTATGAACGAGAAACAACATTTAATGTACGAATTTGAGCATTAAATGAGAAGATCAAACTGGTCATGAACGACTATATTTGCTTCAACGGACAATTGCAACGGGCAGATTTTGCAAGACTATATATAAGCCTCAACATCAAACCTTGAGAGGCTGTCTGTTTGGCCCGAAATGATGTAAGCGTAAAGAAGAGTAATATCCAGCCCATGGTTCAACGAAACCAGAGACAGTATGCATAGAGTCAAAAGTACATTAATGTATTCGTCTCAGTAAACTACAGAATTTCAAATATGTACATCTTAACATCAAACCGTAGTGAGTGTAGGAAATTTCCCAATCCTCTCTGTGAGAGTTATGTATACACTCAAACCAAAACTCTCTAGCTAACATCGTAAAGCCTGAAGAGGCTAGGAAAAGAATACTTGTAAAGCCCGGAGGGACTTGTAAAAGAATACTCACTACTAGCTAGAAGTGGCTGATAAGAAAATACTAGCGTTGGTGAGTGAATCCGACGAGCCAGGAGTGGTCGAGAATACTTGGAGAACCAAAAGTGGTTTAAGAATACTAGTGCTGGTGAGTGAAGCTGGCGGGCCAGAAGTGGTCGAGAATACTTGAACCAGAAGTGGTGTAAGAATACTAGCGCTGGTGAGTGAAGCTAGCTGGCCAAGAGTGGTCGAGAATACTTGGACCAAGAGTGATTCTAACCTGGGTGGTTCATAATACTCATTGCTAGCCTAAAGAGGCTGAGAAGAATATACTAGCGTTGATGAGTGAAGTCAATGGGCCAGAAGTGGTCAACAATACTTGTGTACTTCATTTCATATCTAGTAGAACCCTTCAATTGAATGAGACTGGACATAGCTTAGATTGAGCAAAGCAGTATAAAAATGATTGCACTGTTTTATTTATTCTTCAGACGCGAACACTTCTTAATTGACAAATCTTGTTGAAGGAGCAAGACTACTTCACTTGCTTCAACCAAACTCCATCACAAACCCTCATCTTAGATGTGATTTTTGTGGGAGAGAGCACCCAAATGGTTATTATGCAGAAAATTCTAATGAAGAAGAAGGCAATTATTTGGGTAACCAACCAAAAGGAGGTAACTTTAATTCTCGCAATTACAATACTAACAATTATATGCAGGGAAACCAAGGCTGGAGAAACAATACTAACCAAGGTTAGGGGTGGAGGAATGAAGCTGGACCATCTAATAGGCCACCACCACAACAACAACAACATCAAACTGCTTATCCCTCTATGCATGAGAGAACTAGCAAATTGGAGGATACTTTGACTCAATTCATGCAGATGTCCATGAACAATCAGAAAAATATAGAGGCTTCCATTAAAAATTTTGAGGTTCAGGTTGGACAGCTCGCTAGGCAATTAGCTGACATGTCTGGAGGCCCATTTTCAGCCAACACCAAGACTAACCCCAAGGAGTATTGCCAAGCCATAACAACAAGAAGTGGGAAGGTGGTAGGTAGTGATGTTGGGGTGAGTGACAAAAATGAGAAAAATGAAAAGGAATAAAATGTTGAAATGAGGGAGGTTGAAGAAGAGATTGAGAAGAATGAGGAAGAAAGCAATAAAAATGAGGGTGTAGATAGTGAGAAAATAAGAGAAAAGAATGGAGTAGAGAAGGAGAAAAATAAAAGGAAGGGCAAGGAAGTCATTTTCACTGTTCCAGTAAGAAACTTACCTTACCCTCATGCTCCTTCCAAGAAAGAAAAAGAAATGCAATTCTTGAGATTTCTAGATATCATTAAGAAGCTCCAGATAAATATTCCCTTCACTGAAGCCATGGAGCAAATGCCCCACTTATGCTAAGTTCATGAAGGAATTGTTGACTAAGAAGAGAAAATTTCTTGAAGAAGAGACTGTGGAGCTTGAGGCTGGATGCAGTGCTATTATACAGAAGTCTCTACCTCAAAAGTCCATAGATCCAAGCAGTTTCACTCTCCCTATATCAATTGGTAATTTATCAGTGGGTAAGGCACTCTTAGACCTTGGAGCCAGTATTAACTTGATGCCTTTATCTATGCTGAAGAAGATAGGAGAAGTGGAAGTAAGACCTACAAGAATGACCTTGCAATTGGTAGACAGATCCATCAAGCTTCCACATGGTATAGTGGAAGATATGATCATGAAGGTTGATAAGTTTATGTTCCCGGTTGATTTCGTAGTCATGGATAAGGAAGAGGATGTAGAAGTTCCTTTGATATTGGGTAGACCCTTTATGAAAACAGCTAGAGTTATCATTGACATGGATGATGGAAAGCTAAAGGTTAGGGTCCAAGATGAGGAAGTGAGTTTCAACATATTTGAAGAAATGAAGTTTCCAAAAGCCAACAAAGATTGCTTTAGAATTGATGTATTAGATGATGTGTACTTGGAAACTCAAAATGATTTCAAGGGTTCATCGCCACTAGAGAAGGCTTTGCTTATCTCTAATGAAGAATTGGATAAGGTCATTGGTACGTAAAGCTTGTCACTTGCTTGTGAATTTGGAGCACAAAGCATCTGGGCCTTGAAAGCCTTGAATTTTGATATGAAGGCAGCTGGTGAAAAGATAAAAATTAAATTGAATGAATTGGAAGAATTGAGGTTGAAGGAATATGAGAAAAAAAAATTATATAAGAGCAAAGTGAAGGCCTACCATGATAAAAATATTGTGAGAAGGAACTTCCAACCCGGTCAATCAGTGTTACTGTGCAATTCTAGATTAAAGTTATTTCCGGGCAAACTCAAATCTAAGTGGGCAGGCCCATTTTTAATTAAATCTGTCAAACCATATGGAGCAATTAAACTTGAGGAACCTACCACTGGAAGAACATGGATAACGAATGGTCAAAGACTCAAGCCTTACTTGGGTGGTGAAGTTGAGAGGCTCACTACCATTACACATCTTCAAGAGATTTGATCATGAACAAATGTCAAGCTAAAGAAATTAAATTAGCACATTTAGCATGTTTGCATAATTAGTTATAGATTTAGTTTTTGCATGGTTTTTGTTTTGCTAAGTTGATATTTTGGTTAATGTTTTTGTGTTTCTAATTTAGCTTCATGAGTAAATGAGATGGTATTATGAATGCATGTTTGAATGTATGATATTCATGTGTCATTGCATATCTTATGTTTTGTGTGTCATGTTAGTTGCACTTTGTTAATTGTGTGATTATTTTTGTTAATTGGGAGTTCATTATAGCTGTTAAAAATGTGGGAGTGAAGGAACAAGTTTTAGATAGGTTGGGAGCTATAAAAGAGTGAAAAGGAAGCAAAAATTTCATGGTTGAAGTCTCGGAGCTGGAGCCCTCATTCACGACTGCAGCGGATTTAGCATAAAAACTTGGAAAAAAAATTTTGATACAAGGGCTCAAGCCCCGGTTCCAAGGCTCAAGCCTTATTTTTCTGCTTCACGTCCAGGGGTCCAGAGCTGCAGCCTTCACCCAAGGCTGCAGCCTCAACTCTCTGCCAAGCTCCACATGAGTTCTAAAAAAAAAAAAAACCAAAGCTGCAGCTCATGATTCTAAGCCTAAGCTCAATAAATCTGCCATCCTCATGGCTGCAGCTTTAAATCGTGGCTGCAGCCCCGGTTTCAAGTGCCCATTTTTATTTTTTTAAGTCACTTTTACACCCCTTAGTCCACTTCAAAGCTACGAATTCCTTGCCTTCACTCTCTTTTTGTGCTCTCAACCTCTAAACCCTTCCCATTCTCTTCTACTCCCACTCTCTTCTCACGAGTCTCTCTTGTTGGTAGGAGATTATTGAAATATTTCATAATTCTCTTCTCCTCCAATTCACACTAAAAAGGTAAATTTTTCCATAGGTTTTTCTCCTGTTGTGGGTTTACATGCGATTCTTTCAAATTTCTCCAAAGAACTCTTAAATTGTTGAAGTGAATGAAACACTTTGTTTGCTTAAAAAAATGCTTATTGAAGGTGTATGCAAGCTGTTTGTGGAAATGTTTTCAAGAAGACCATGTTGTGAAATTCAACTCCTTGTTATATTTTTTGGCACATTAATCTTAGCTTATTGACATGCATATCATCCACATGGTTAATTGTGCTTGAAATAAATCGAAACATATCCATAGCCTACTTTAGAAACCTTTGTTGATCAGCTTTTATGGCCTGAGGACAGTCTTAATTATTTCCTCAGAAGGGGGTGGAGTGCAACAGCCAGGAGTTCATAGTGCACAACCTATTGATCAGCATAGGCAGGAAGAGGAAGTTGAGAGAGATAAAGAAGCAGAGGAAGAGGAGCAAGGAGAAGAAGAGGAATACGAGTCAGAAGATTTCTGAGACAAACTGTGGAGAAGAGTTCATTTTAATTTTCTACAATTTTAAATTTTAGTATTTAAATATTATGGTTTATCGTTAGCTTGTTTAGTTTAAACTATCTGTTTGTTTTGTGTTAATTAAGGTTTGTGTTGGATGTTATACTTATGCATGTTGTTGTTTTGACTTTTGGTGCTTAGGTCAAGTACTGGTGAACCTTTTGTTTTTGTTTGTAGAAAGTCACTAGTTTGTGAATGATCACTGACTGTTGAAGCACTCAGTTTTTTTTGAAAGACAATTTAGAGTAGAGTCTTATATACAGTTAATATGATGACAACAATTGATAACAATTATTTTTTGGGAAATAGGTGACAATTTTTGGGAATCACTAGATAATCATTCTTGGATAGTCAAGTTGTTTCAAATCAACAAGAAGAAAATCTTCATCTTTAAATTCACCAAAAAAAGTGTTGTTAATACTCATCTTATGGTTGCACTCTATCATTTATGCATGATCTTAGAATTCATGAGCATCTCTTTATACTTGACATGAAAGGTCAGTGGTTGGATTTATTGAGCCAAGCCGGTGAGTGAGAGCACCCAATACATTCAGTTATATGTTTGAGAGTCACCATCATAGCATGTGTTTGCATTGATTGATTCTTGAAATTGTTGCTTTTGTAAGAAATTTTGGAAAAGATCAAGGCATTATATTGTTTATATTGAAAATCTGTTGAGCCTAGAACCAAACAGCTAACCTTCAATTGAGAAAAATATCTGTTTGAAACCCATTTCAACATTACCCTGTATTCAACCCTTAAGCCTTTACCAACTGTAAATTCCTCACCCTGACCAAACCTTAGAGAGCATGATGAAAATGAATGTCAGTTAAGTTGGGGGGAGTGAAAATTGTTAAGGTTGAAGAAAAAGAAAAGAAATACCATGTTGTGAAGTGTTAAAGTGAGAATTACCTCTCTAATGTTATCATTGTACTGTACAACTCCATTCAAAATAGCTTCATAAAAAGTTTACAAAAAAAAAACAAAAAACAAGAAGAAGAAGAAGAAGCTAAGTTAATGTACAAAAAGTCTCAAAAGAGGTGGGATTCTTGCAATTGAGTCAATAAATTATGAGGGTAAATATGGGAAAAGTGAAGGTAGAAATTGGGCTGAGAGATGTGGTTGGAGTTGAAAATTGAAGAGTGAACAAATTTTGAGTCTTGTTGCTTATGTTCATTGTGCTCTCTAGAGTTTGAACCTTGTTTAACCAGAAAAACCATATTTCTTTGTTAACCAAGCCCCATTACAACCATCAAAAGACCTTGTGATCCTTCATCTTCTTTTGAAGAGTGGCAACAGAGAGATGATATCAATGCTTATGTTCATAGAAATGATGTGTGTAGTTGAGAGAAACACTCACCCAAGGAGAGATACACCAGTGAGGAGTATATATTCAATCACTGATTCATAGTGCTCAAGTTAGTGATTTGTTTTGTGAATTCTTTGATTAGGTATGCTTGAAAATGTGGGCAACTCAAGTGAGTAGGAATTAAATTGATGAAGGTGAATTGATTAATGATGTATTCTCTTGTTGATATAGAAGTAATTTGTGAAATGGAAAGTGTTGTCAGTTTGCAATCACAATGGAACCTTTGTTTGGGGACAAACAAATGAGTAAGTTGGGGGGAGTTGATAAGTGCTCAAATTGCATATTTTTATGCTTAATTTGGCACCCTTTTTGGGAGAGATGTAAGTGATTTTGGTTGTATTTGACCCTCTAAATAAATAAACTAAGATTAATCTAAGGAGTTACAAGAGTGTAGTTTCTTTGGTTGAAAATATTTCTCTTTTGTGTAGATTTTGATGAAGTTGGAAATCCAAGGCTATAGCCCCAAAGCCAAAGCTGCAGCCTCGAAGCAAAAAGAGGTATTCTAGAGACTTGAAGCTTTAGCCATGAAACCAGAGCTCCAGCCTTGGAACATTGTGGGCAGTCCAGAAATTCAGAGCTACGACCCCATTCCAGAGCTATAGCCTTGGAGCTTTGTGCGTGTGGGAGCACTTCTAAAGTTGCAGCCACGCATCCAAAGCTGCAGCCTTGGGTTAAAAATCCCAACTTTCCCTTGGACAGAACATATTTTAGGGCTGGAAAAGAACAAAAGAGGGGGATCGAGATGAAACGAAACCAAAGAAAAATAGAGAGAAAGATCACCCAGGAGAAGAGGAGAGTTTGAAGATTAGATTTGAAGATTGGCTTGCTTGGGAGTGAGGACCCATCTTCATTTCTTCTCTTCTATTGTGTAATCTCATCTTTTTATTTGTTATGGCCCTCACCATGAGTGGCTAGTTTCTCTTGGGTTGGATTCATTGTAACTACTAACTCTATTTCTTCTTAGATTTATATGACATTCAGTTCTATTACTTGTGTTTGATTCTTCTTTTAATGCTTAATACGGTTTGATAACATGTTTTATGATATTAGGTTTTGGAACTTTGTTGGGAAACATTTTCAAAACCCTAAACTGAATCATTCACCTAATAATCTCTTGTTCTAGGAATAGACTTGATTTTGTTAGCCATTTTGGTTCAAGTTATTGTTTTAATTCAAGGTGTTAATATTAAATCATAGAGGAATCATGTTTAGGGTTAATCACCTTAGGGCTCAATTTTGAGGAATTTGGTTGAGCTAATTATTGAACATGGAAGTGATAGAAGTGGAGTCATATTTATTTGATGAAGATTAAAAGAGTTAGAAAGTACATTTGAATCCAATCTCTTTCTCATATAAGGTTTTCTATTAAATTTACACCATTACTTTTAATTGCTTTATTATAAACTTAAATCAATATTTCATTTTACAGAGCAGAAATTACTATTATCTCCAAATCCCCGATGACGATATCAAATTACTACAACGAAGCTTAGTCCGCTTGCCAAGAGTGAAAAATCTTTCACCACACTCCTTCACGTTTTGTGAGTATATAATTCGAGCAGAATCAATCTGTCTGATTATATTTTAAGAGCTTAATTAGTTTTGTTTTACTTTATATTTCTTTTTCTAACCTACTAGAAAGAATCACACTCTTATCCCTCATATGCAAACTGATGTTTATTTTTTTCTTCTTTTATTTGTGTTTAATTTGTAGATAAATCTTTTTTAAGAAAAGCTAGCATGATCAGGGACGAAGTCAGGTTTGCTTGAAGGGGGCCCATTTATCTATTTATCTTTCATGTTGTTATAACTATCCTCTTTCAGCTCATTGTTGATTTAACGTGTTTTTGGACATATAAAAGACAATTAATCACAGATTTATATATATATATATATATATATATATATATATATATATATATAATAAAAAACATAAAAAAAAATATATATAAATAAAAAA